AATCCCACCACCCTTCCCCCACACCTATCCAACTATACACGCTATCACCCCTCTTTCACCTTCTTCTCTCCTATTTTTCTCACCAACCAACTACACCAACATTCAATCTTTCGTCCAATTTTTTTTTCCAACAAAATTATGTCTAAGAAACCCATTGAAACACCTCGAAAGAGTCCCAGATTGGATGAAGGAACTTCTAATGATGAAGTTCATGTTTTAAATTTTAATATATTAACTCAACCCCCTCCCCCTCCCCCTCCCCCTCCCCCGCCTAAAATTGTTGAAAATCCGGCGAATATTAAAAATTCGGCGACGGATGCTTTATCTAAGTTGAAGGAGCGACAAAGAGAGAAAAAATGAAGAAAAAAAAAGGTCACCCCTGCAAATCAAAAGGGGAAGAAGAGGAAGGGGAAAATTGTTGAAACCCCTTCTGATTTTGATTTTGATTTTGTTACTGAAATCAAAAAGAAAAAAAAAACAAATACAGAAGTTGGAGCATCTTCAAAACCATCAACAAGAAGAACAACAAAAAGTTATTTTTTTTAACTTTTGGACAATTTTTTTGTGTTTAAGTATTTGATGATATATAATATCATATGTTTTCTTTCAGGCAGATACCATTTACATATGAATTATTGATTGTCTATTACAATTTCAAGATACTATTTTGAAAATATCAGTACTACTTGTTTTCATTAAAAAACGTTTTTTTTTCATTTTTCTTTTATCTCTTTATTTTATTTAAAAAACTTTTTTCAATTATTGAAAACAATTTTTTTTACAAAATAATTTGTTAGAACCTGAAATTTTTAATGTTATAACTTGAAAATCTAAATCGAGTGCTATAGCTTGAAAATATTACTATAATATATGACATATATAAAATTTACACGTTATTTTATGTGACTGTGCCTGAGTTATAGAGCTGAAATGTCAGTTTGACATGCTAATATAAATATATGATGGTAGGAGAAAATATTAAATAAGAAAATGTCAATTTAATATATATCTCGATATAAATATGAGGAATTTTTGTTACAAATAATCATAACTTTTACTTCTCATAAATATATATACTACAACATATTTGACCTTTGAAAAATATGAGCTTTTTCTCTCTTTTGTCTCCTTTGGGGGTGTCCTTTTGTAGGAAACTTCGAAAGGAACGAAGAAATATTTAGTCCATATATATTATGTACTCCACTAAACATACTAATATCGCATGCATTTTGAATTGTGGAAATTTAAGACATCCTTCCTTATCACAACCCACCTACTTCCGAATTCGAAGATCTATCACAATCAAAATTTATTATTTGTAATTGTCGGCAGATACATTTCTTTGATTCAAAGCTTATATTTGTGTTAAATAATTCATTAAATATGTATAAATAGTATATTCAGAATTCAGTAAAACAAAATTAATATGATGAATAATCCATGTACTAAAAATCTTGGCTCCATAATAAATACTCTTAAAAAATCATAACATTTTCTTTAAAGATGAAGACGTTTTTTTTTTAAAAAAAGAAGAAGATGAGACGGTTTTTCCTGGAATAATTAATATTAAAAAAGAAAATATTGGTATGGAGAACGATAGAGGTTATTGCAAAATGGAAAGCAAAGATTGGATTATAGAGTGGGCTTTTTGGGCCCACTTATATTTTTACAAGAGGAGACGGAGTAGTTATGCATGTGACATTGTGACGTTGGAATTTTGACTTTTAAAATAATAAAAATGTGGCAAAGGAAAAATATGAGGCCATTGAGGAAAAGAGTGAGGAAAGATGCAATAATTAAATTGGTAGGGGGTGGTAAGTAGTACAAACTTGGATCTAATTTCCTCTTATTTTTTAAACTATTAAAGATTTTTTTTAAATCTGTCATCGATGTTCGATATCTATATTTAGAGCCAAATTAATTGAGATTTACATTTTGCAGGACTTATTTCTGAGGGAATCAGACATTTTTAATTTAAAAAAATTCTACTTTCAATGATTAAGGATAGAGAAATTCAATTATCTTACTGCAACATAACCTATAATATTAAAGAGTTTGTGAAGAGGAAAATATTGTGTATAATATATGTACTTGGGAGGGAAAAAAATATCTAATGGAAGCTTCTATTGTCTACCTAACACATGTCAACATAATAAAAATAAAATATAAAGGAAGAAAGAGGATGGTAGTTACGTTTAAAAGTGACCTCTTTTCGTTGTGCGAAGAGACATTGTAATTTATCTAATTGCTTTATTTTGGTATTCTTCCTTTTTTTCTATATGAATATGATATATTGAGGTAATATAGTATATGTTTTCTTGATTAGATTTGTCACATATGTCTTAGATTGCGTTTTGAGGGGATCTTGTCCATATTTTCTTGCTTTTTGAAACATTTCGAGAAATTATTAGCTAGTTGATAATCATTTTATGTTTGAATTTCACATATAAGTTGAAATATGATCTGTAATTATTTTAATTAATTTTGGTGACTTTCATCTCAAATTATTTTGAAAACATTCCAAAGGTTTATGTAGAAAGTAGAGGCATGATTTAAATTAAACTCCAATACATGAACTTTGTTTGAAGGGAAAAAAGTATTTTTACTCCCTCGATTATGATAATTAATTGATTCCGGTCCTTGTCATAATATGTTTTTAACATTTATAATTGAACATGTATCTTTTTTAGAAGATATATCATACTTTAAGTATTTTTTATTAGTGAATTACTCTTAAATATAAAATAAATATTAATAAAAATATAGTGTTGATCAATTTTAATTCAACTTCTTAATCTGATAAATTTTACGTGTTGTTATGTTCATAATTTGATTTTAAAAAAAGTTGAAAACAATGTACGCTTTAATATTAAAAATTAAATCTCATGCTAACAAACTCTGATAAGAAAATTCCACCTTAAAAAATCTCAGGTTAATTAAGAAGAAGATGAACCTAGCTATCATTTGCATCTAATTGACAAAAAGTAACAATGACTTATTTTTCTTTGTCTTATTCAAGTTTGTGTAAAATAATTTAACTATAAAAAGCGGCCGCTTGATATTAATTTTTCACTACAAATTTGTGAAAAAGATAGATTATGACATGTAAAACATCTTTAGCTAATTTTGAATGTCATTCTGAAGTTTAATCCTTATCCTAATTTTTCATTTTTATTTCTTGTGTCTAAAGTGCCTTGGGGTGTTTTTATTTTTTTACTTGATTCACTTATTTCCAATATCTCATCCTTCTAACGTTGAAATTTCTCTAAATAGTATATAGTTTGAAAAAAAAAAACTTAATTAGTCATTTGACTAGAAAACTTGCACATTGTATATCAATTTTGACTCTGCCGTGAATTTTCAGAGAACTCAGATTATTTTTTCTTTTGGTCAATCGCAGAAAATGGAACCTATATAATTGGTAGTTGGAAAAAGATTTTCCCAAATAATTCAAACAAATAGAATTAGGTTATTAGTTATTTAAGTTTTAAGCTATTATATCAAGCACTTCTAAATTCAATAGAGATATTCAAATACTTTTACTCTTTAAAATCGTATATAGTTGCAAAAGACATTTATGCCATCAATATTCAAAATCTACTGGTCCAACTAATTTAATTTTGTTAAGGTATAAAGTCCACTAAGACAGAAGCGAGTGTAACATTATGGTACAATATGGCATTTGAATTCAATATTTTTGACGTAGAACACAAATTTATGTATAAAAATTTAATATAGATTTAAAATCAAAACACGTAGTAATCAAAACAACAAAAATAATTTTAAGGTTGGAACACAAATATTAAATACAAAAATTTTCTTTTACAGTAAAAAGATAGAGTTTCTTATTAAGATTTTTTCTATTTTCAAAATTTAAACTCAAAACTTGAATTAAATTTGAAGATGGAAAAGATAGGGATCCAATAATAATATCCATAAAGATAGGTAGTGACAAGAAATTTAAACCTTGGCGTGGGGGAATGGTTGGTTAGGTCACGTCTAGTAGTATATATAGCCACAATAATTGTTAGGTTGGTGGAAGCTACAATCGTTACTACGGATATATATTATTGTTTTTTAGTTCTTTCACTCATTTTATATTAGTTTTTCAGACACCTCTCTTCTTTCTTATTTATTGCGATTATTATTATTATTATTATTAATAATAATAATAATAATAATAATAATAACAATTATAATTTTAAGAATGGAAGAGATAGGTTACGCACCTCTTCTTTTCTTCTCATCCTCTCACTGCTTATCCATTTCTCCTCCTACCATTTACCCCATAATATTCACTCACATATATATCCTAATTATGATTCAAAATCCTACTTCTGATAATAATTATTTACTGTATAGTGGTAAAGAAAATTCTAACAACAATAACATATTCAATATAGACAATTCTACTTATTGAGTCTGAAGAAGGTAAATGTAAGCAAATTTTATCCCTATTTCATGGCATAGATAATGTTTCCAATAGACTCTCATCAAGTACAAAAAGAAAAAGCTTATCACAAAAAAATATTCAACTTATATATATTAATCATGTTAAAAAATTATACGCTAACAAATAAATTTTGACATGCTATAATATGTAATATTTTTATTTTTCAGGTTTTCGATCTTGCTATGTATGAGTAATTGCTTGGAGTTATTATTTTTATATAGTATGATAGTACAAAAATTCTTTAATATTATGAGTGTATAAAAAATCTATTTTTTAGGTCATTAATTACACTTTTATTGAATGATAGTTTGAAATTATCTTTCATCTAACCTAACAATGTTAAAATTGAATTATATATGCGATATTACTATACAAAAGTTAAACTCAAAACTCAATTGGAACAGACCTAGAAAAGTATAACAACAGACCTACTAATCAACAAATTTCTCCAATATTATTTGGTGGAGATTAAGGAATGCCAAAATATTCGAGTAATTAACATTGTACCAACAAAATGACATAAATTTCATAAGGTACACTATAACACTCCTTTCAACTTAATATGATATATATAGTAATACTTTCAATTTTACAAATAAGAGAAAATTCGAAAGAACTTGAACTAATAGCGATATCTTTCACAATTCTCTCTTCTTCTTTTTTAACCCAAATACACCAGGGAAAAAAAGATTTATAATAAAAATTCACTTAGTTTCCAAAGTTCTATAGTCCAAAACACTATTACTCTTTAATCCTAAAAAATTATAACTTGCAATATTACCCATATTGTTTTTACTGCAATTGCAATCTTTACTATTTTGTATACCCAAACTGCATGCAAAACACCTTGAGGGGCTATGTTGGTAATTTTGTAGAGAAGGAGGGCTAATTCTGAGCTCAAGATTTAAATCAGGACACTGTTCTCGAAATGGACTGCTACTAATTTCATCTTCCAATTGACTTAACCCAGATTCAGCTTTGACATTTATCATCTTATTATGATCTTCTTCAATATCTTTAGTTTTATGATCTCCACCTGCAAATGAAATTGTTGTGATTTTTTGCGTTGTACCGGGCTCGTTAACGGGCCTGTGTGTCGTAGGATCAATGCCCCGACTCAAAAGCTTCCTTCTTATATGTGTATTCCAATAATTCTTTATCTCGTTATCTGTTCTTCCCGGTAATCTTCCGGCTATAAGTGACCATCTGAAAAGGAAGAAGAAGGTAACTAATGCAAGTTAGTTCACATTTTAAGTAATTCAACTTTAGTAACGAAAGTTGAAAAAATGACAAAAATAGTTTGTTATGTCTCGAGTTAGTCTAAAATAGTCCTTCAAGTGAGCAATTTTAGTTTTCGAATTTCAAAAGTGAGATAGAGTATATTTTTCAAATTTCTGAATTATTTTAAATAAAATTTCTGACTTGGCTGCTGAATTGACAAAAGTGAAATTAAGGAGTGAGTAGTACGTACTTGTTACCCAGAAGGCTATGGAGTTTGATAATGAGTTCATCTTCTTCTTCAGTAAAATTACCGCGTTTAAGGTCAGGTCTCAAGTAATTAATCCACCGGAGACGGCAACTTTTACCGCAGCGGAGAAGTCCGGCAGCTTTGGGAAGGGATCTCCAGCAACCTTCGCCGTGAGTTCTAATATAAGAAATAAGTCGTTCATCTTCTTCTTTAGTCCAAGCTCCTTTATTTGTATGTGCTTTTTCACAACACGGTGATCTTCCCATTGAACACTAATAATCTCAAACTACTTCTTCTGTGTAGTATTTAGCTATGGAGAATTAATTAATGCCGGCTTTTTTCAGAACTTGAGGTGGGATTTTATAAGCTTTTGACTCCCTGAAGAAGATGGACCCCACTGACGTAGGGGGGTGGGTGGGGTAGGAGTAGCAGAAAGGGAGTAGGGGTTGTGGGGGGTGGGGTAGTGACCTTATGCTTCTAGATGCGAGTTGGTAAGACAGGTTAGAGGACAGTGGCTGGTAGCCATTCTTTTCTTCTTTTTTTAATCATATCAACCTCATATATAATTGTTACTCTCTCCGTTTTAATTTGATTATTTTATTTTAATTTGATGAGTAAATTTTATTAATTTTTGTTAGTTATGAATAAATTAGTGATGAAGTTTATAGTTAATTCCTCTTTTGTTTTATGACTATATATATATTATGTGTGAAAAGTTAGAAGTACAAAGATGCGTTAAAAGAAAGAAATATTCTTTTAAGAAAATAAGAAAATAGTAAGACAATTAAAAAATATTCCAGTTAAGTTCAATATCTTATTTATAAGTTTAATTTAGACATCAAATGTTGAATTATATTGTATTGCTGCTATACTAATCCTAAATGAAATACAACTATAAGAAAATGGAGTAAGAGTGACATTGATTAACTAATTATATTTAAAGGTAAACTTTAGGTAGGTGCAAAATGAGGTATTAAAGATCCAGTAAATTTATGACAAAATGAGTGTATGATCTGTTCTCTTTTTTATTTATTTTTATTTTTATTTTTATTTTACAAGTTCTGTTTGTGACTAAACTCTGAACCACATCTTAAAATAATAATAATAATAAAGTAATTTGGCTAACTATTCAAATCTCCCCTAACCATAGGACGACATGTACCAGACACTTTTCTTGCAGACTACTAATTTAAAAATAATAATAATATTATTATTATCATTATGCTCTTGTTTGAACTAACAACTTTATTAAATTTAATTTGTGTTGTTCTACATTAGATTTATACCCTAAAACTTTATCAAATGACATATAATTTGTCCTAACAACTCGTCAAAGTTAAACCATTTTTGTGAATATATTGATATCATGTATGTATGGATCTAAGTTATATATAAAGATTGTTTACATATTAATACGTTTGAACGTTCGATAGCAAGTTAATTACTTTTTATGTCTCAATGTTATATTACACTTTCAATTTTAGTATATCCATATACACATCGAAAAGATTTAATTTTAAAATGCTTAGTTTATATTCTTAACGAGATAATTTCTAGTTACTTTTTTTATTTTCTTAGATACACATACTTATAAAAAAATATTTTAGACATTAAAACTCATTAGTTTTAATTTCTATAAAATTTTTGTGTTCAGACAAACAATGTCACGATTTGAGAAACAGAGGAAATAAAATGCAAAAAATAAATAATAGTTGCAGAGAAAATTGACTGAGTATATTTTGTCCTTTTTTTTTTTAAATTAAGGATTTGGCTTAGTTGTAGTGGGTGTTTGGTGAAGAAGTTGTTCACAGTCCTTTACCCTTACATTTTCTTGCTAGTACAAGCAATTAATTAACTCTAATTAGATAAAGAGTTTAATTTATCTTTATTGTATGTATTGGTGAAATAAAAGATATTCTCATCGTCAATCAGTGAAAAATTTATGTTATAAAATATATATTTTTCACTTATTTTTATCGAATTAGTCCATTGAAAAAATGCATGGAGTAAAAGATTCTCACTGAAATAGTAACAAATTTCTTAATTTTTTTTTCCGTATGAGAACATCACTATCGATTCAATCAAAATATCTATGAAAATAACCATCAAATACTTTTAGTAAGTTATTTTAATAGTGTACATCCAACATGCAAGAAAAGGTGGATTGAGTATATTGTTAGGGTTTCTAGAAGAAATGGAGGTTGGAGAATAATGGAAGGAAAAAAGAGAAGCATAGCTAATTAGGAGGAAAAAAATGGAGGTGGGGTGTGATTGTTGTTGTATATGGGCTTTTGGTTCACCTTCCACTTCTCTCTTTTTGTTTTCATTATTAGAGAAAGAGAGAGAGACCAAATATATTTTTTAAGAATTGTGGTTCAAGTTAATTTAGGCAAAAAAAAGTTGGAGATGGTAAGGTTGATTCACCTTTTTGTTCCTCTTCTTGCTACATATGATTACCTACTTCTTTTAGTTGTCTATACAAGATATTTTATAAGCCATATCAATATTTAAATAAATAAGTATAATTACTATAATATAAGTAACAAATAGTAGTGACATTCTTTCTATCTGTACACAATATTTTAAAAAAATTATAACCTCAATTCGTAATTATCGAAATTAAAAAAGAGATTGATTTTACAACGTATAAAGATAAACGAGGGTAAATATACACAACTTCATTGATTCTTTTACTGAATTGATTCAACCAATTGAACTAAAAACGATTCATTAAATTGTTTGATCAAATGCTAGTATAACCCAATGGACCAAAACATAACTCATACTCCAACTTTCAGAGTCTATATTAAAATTGAAAATGTGAAAGAACTTAAATTTTAAAAATTGAAAATATTGATTAATGAGCTCTCTTTTTTTAATCAAAAAGCATAATGAAAAGGATGAGAGGTCGGATCATATAGAAATTAGAATATAACTTATTATTTGACCCGTTTTAACCTAACTTATTTTGACCTAAATAAATGTTGAACGATTAAATCATAGCTTATTTATTGATTTCATCAACTTTAATCCGCTCAAGTTAACACAATTAATCATTTGTCACACGCCTATTACCTATATATCTATACCTCCAATTTGCAAATGTACTTTTATTTTGAATTTTTACCCACCACCAAAAAAAACCTTATCTCTCTTTTTTCCCTTTTTTCTCCTTGAAAACAACTAGAATGATAACAACTTGTGCCTATAATTCACGATACTAAACCCCTAGTCCTATCAACTTGGCTTTGATGACTTGAAGGAGAGTTGTCCACTTGTGTAATTTCATGTGTGTGTTTTACCTACCTTTTGTCAACCTTTTTGCATCCCCTTGTGTCACGTCCCAAAAAAATAGAAGACTGCCCACCTCTAAAATTATGATGTTGAACTATGGCACGGTTTTAATTTGGATTTTATTGCCACACGTATTTCTTCATTTTATCATATATCCAAAAATAATAATAATAATAATAATTATTATTATAAGCTTATCCATTATCTTCTCCAACATGTTTGGCTTCCATCTTAATGTTACTACCACCACTAAAGTGCTTAAATATCAATCTCCATCCTTATCTTTAGTCCAACACATATAAAGGTGGAGCCAGATACTCAGAATTTAAAATTTTATGTATTTTTATTCATGTAAATATTTCAATAATAATAGAATTCATAGTTAAGTATTTATAAAGATTCATTATTAAAATTTTTAATATATACATAGGATCCGTAGAAAAGTTATTGCGTCCGTGGGAACTTGTAACTAGCACAATGAATCATGGCCCTAGGTGTAAGAGACTTGAGTTCAATTGAATCTCTTTCATGTGAAAAATATTTTATACGTGCAAATTGGCAAAAAATAAATTAAAATTTTGTTATAGTATACATTATATTGGGAAAATTGTATATAATAGCAAACTATTAATTTAAATTAAATGTTATAACCACAATTTAATTTAATTGTAATTCGTAGCAAACTGTTGTCAATCGCCTCTCTCCCTGAAATTCTCGCTCACCACTCTCCCTCTCTCGCTCGTCAATCTCTCTCTCGCCTTTCTCACTTTATACAAACACAAATGTATAAATTGTGTTTCTGTTTGTATAAAGCGAGAGTAATTTATATATACATATGCAAATACATATATCTTCATCCAATACACTTATAATTATACAATACAAATCTTCCCCTGCCCAGTTCTCTTTTGTCTTTCTCTCTTTCTCGCTTTATACAAACACAGATTATACAAAATATAATTTATAATTTGTGTTTGTATAAAGCGAGAGAGATATTTGATATACAAACGTTTTATTTCGATTCAATTGTATACAAATTCAAATTTTATGCAGATATACAAACACATAAAATTGAATTGAGAGGCTAACAACGATTTATACAAACGAGAGGCTGCCAACGATTTATACAAATGAGAGGCTGTCAGCGATTTTATACAAATCTGATGCCCCCAATGATTTATACAATCTGATGCTCCATAACAAATATAAAGTTTGTTATGGAGTGCAATTATGCAAACTATAGCTATAGCATACAAATATGATTTTTATGTTTGCTAAATGTGAAAATTTTATAGATGGAGGCAGAAGTTCAATGAAAAATAAGCTATGAGTTATAAAATTTTACACATTCAATGATATGAGTTAAGTTCATAAAGAAAAGACAATAGTTAGTATGGTATAACACATCAAAGAGAAGTATTGAAAATATTCTTAAATTCAGAGCGAATTATTAGTTTTATCCTTAAAGTTAAACTATTGACAGTCTTAAAAATACTCTTTTTTTTTGTCTAATTGAACTTAAATATACCACCGATCTTGCACCATGAGTGAAATACACCCCTAAATTCTCACCAGATTTAGAGGTGTTTCAACACTTCTCTCGACTTTTTATTAAGAGTCTCATGCTCCTACAAGAGTTAGAGACCACTAGCTATGTCATGTGGTAGATTGGGGGTGTATCTAAGTTTAGTTAATCAAGTAGAAGGATATTTTTAAGATTGTCAATAATTTGGGGATGAAACTAATAATTTGCACTAAATTGATAGGTATTTTCAGTACTTCTCTACGCCAAAATACAATAAAAGTAATAACATATCCAACATAATTATTCATGTAGAATTTGAAATGGTGATATATACACAATCTTATGAAAGTACAGAGTAAGAGATATTAATTGTATATAAAAGAAATTATATTGTTAAGCGTATACAAATTAAAGTGATAATGAAAGGGATATGGTTGGTAATGGGCATAAGTGATATTATGGGAACAATAAGGTGAGAGGCTCGTG